CGGAAAACACAATAGTAACCAGGCATTTCGATTTTCACTTCTTATAAATACACACAAAATCTAGTTTTATGTTGATATTAGTTTAACTCGTAGAATTTCACTCGATGATTGTCACTAGTGTCGATTCAAAAACACACAACTACTGTTTCTCTCACGATGGATTCTTCAAAACTAATTATCTCCTGAAAAGTCTTACTTAAATAGCATGATTTTAATGTATACAGAGCTAGGTAGGTACCTTTTGTAACTAACTACCTATGTCATCATGTTTGCTCAGTGCTCACAGACTAATGGACACAACTAAGCCCGAGAATGACGTGAGACAACCAAGTCGACGCATGCGTCTACGAAAAAGGGACACAAAATGGCCGTCTTTGTCGCTTCTCTGTGGTAGGTATTCTCGGCCCATACGCAACACTGAAACGCAGTGTAAAGCTAAAAAACTGTGACTGAACTTATAGGCACATTTTTTATATAACTCTCAGATAATCAAAAAAGAAATCAACATGAGAGATTTCCCAAGCGGCTGTGAATTTCCTGTTGAAAGTCTTCTACCCAAGAAGGAAACTGGAGTTGTGTCCTTTCTCACAAAGTATCCAAATTATGATGGCAGGGGTATTGTTATAGCTATTTTAGACTCGGGAATTGATCCGGGAGCACCAGGTTTACAGGTGAAATTAAATAACTGAAATAAAGTATATATTTAATCCATCATTTTTTTCAGAAAACTTCAGATGGAAAAACAAAAATAATTGAGCGATTTGATTGCAGTGGTTGTGGGGATGTGACTACAAAAACCATTGTAGTACCTAGTGAAGGAATTATAACCTCCCTTACTGGAAAAAAACTGAAAGTAAGCCAAAACTTTTTTTTAATATAAATTTGAATTTGAAAAATCATTCATTTGCAAGATTCCACTGTCTTGGACTAATCCTGATGGAACATATAGACTAGGCATAAAACATGCTTTTGATTTGTATCCAGATAGATTGAAAGATAGAATGAAAGCGGAATATAAAAAGAAGTTTTGGGATGAGATTCATAGAAAGACGATCAGCGAAACTAATAGAGAAATGGCTGATTTTGAATCAAAATACATCAGTAAGTGGTGAAATGATGATAAAAAAGGGATTTTGATTTTGAAAGTTTCAGACAAAACCTTAACTGATATGGAGAAATTAGAAAAGGATAACTTAGAGGCACAGTTGGATATTTTGAGTAGTTATGAGAAGAAATTCTACGATGCTGGGCCAGTATATGACTGCATTCTATTTTATGATGGCAAGAAGTGGATGTGTTGTGTAAATACATCCGAAGACAATGACTTATCCAAATGTCCTCTACTGGGAGAATTTAGTGTAACTCATGAATATGCTCCTTTAACAGAGGCTGATAAACTGAATATCAGTATTAATGTCCATGATAATGGAGATGTTTTGGAATTAGTTGGAGTGTGTTGTAAGTTGTAATACATAATGTTAATGGTGTAGAATATGGTTATAGAAGATATAAAGCTTCAAATCCTTTTTGTTGAAAAGTAATGGTCCACATTGACTACCCTGGAGAACACCAGAACAGGCTTCAGTTGTATGTGAAAGCTAATTATTGATTTTCATCCTCTGAATTCTACCTGTAAGGAAGTTGCCAATCCAATCCAAAACACTACTTCCAAAACCAAAGGATTCTAATTTTCAAAGCAATACAACAGATTAATTCTATCATACATCTTTGAAAAATCTGTGTGAATTGAGTGAACCTGATACCGTTTCTCAAACGCAAATTTGTGACTATAGACTTGCCTCTAGAGAAACCATGCTGCTGGTTGGTTAGGGCACTGAGACAGTGCCAAGAAAGCTGTTTGTTTACGAGACAATCAAATATTTTGGGAACGACAGATAAACTAATGCCCCTATAATTCTTAACATTGCTCCTATCACCTGATTTGTGGATTCTCAAAAAGCTGCTTTTTCAGAACATGAAAAATTCACCATTTTTGAAAGATAAATTGAATAATAAAGAAAGTGGAAAGTTCAGGGTACACACACATTGTTTCAATAACTGTGAAAGCACACCATCTGGTCCAAAGCCGAAACCAGTCCTCAATACACCTCAATGAAAATGTCCGTTTGAGTAATCTGGCAACCAGCAAAATTAAATGAACGGCGACCTTGTTGCTCATGTAATTTTATATTGATATTATCTTCAACAGATATGGATAAATTATAATAAAGTATCAACTTCTTTCTTTGGATTTGTAATTGAAATTTTTTACTCTATAGATAATTATTAAAACACAAAATATAAATGAAATATTAACTAATACACCTTTTTTTAGGTGTAATGTAGTATTACATGTAGAAATCTTCCATCTACTTCTCAACTTATATCAAATATATTGAGGTGAAAAAACAATATTTCACCAGCTGCAAATGAGTGAGGAAGAGAATATATTATTCTTACAAGAATCATGTAGTTTGGAAATATAGCTTTTCCCAATGTGTTTGTAGTTACTGCACTTTTCTGCCCAAAGTCATCAGATTACTCACTGTCACCATTCACTCCGTCTTGTTCACAAACTTATTCACATTCTACACAAACTCACAGACAATCTTTATATACATACATAACCACTAACTATTAGCATCAGTGAGGTACTCCTCTATTGTATAAAAAGTATTTTCATTTAGATAATTGAACAATTGTTTTGATAATATTGAAATTTTTTATCTCACCAAAGATCCTATTAAAACATAGAATTCCTTGGTATTTTGGAGAAATCTGTGTCACACAGCCTAGAGTATTGTAAGCTAATGTCATTTTTATTGCGTGTTTGGTGTTGGTGAACTTCACTACTTTTCATGTAAGTATCTTGCTCTTTTTTGATATTCATAATCAGAAGATATATATAAAGTGATGGTAAAGTTACAATTGACAATGACTTGAAAAAAGCTTTACAAGATACGTTATTTCGAACTGCCATCATGCATCAATGTGTTGAATTACCCCAGAAGATCAAGCCATATGTGAGTGCCGACGACACTAGACCATGATATGTCATTCTGAGAACCTCTGTTGTCTGATAATAAAATTGATACTACTCAATTTCCCTACCAGATTTTCGAAATGAGTGTTCTATGTCACTTTCTCATCAATTGTTAGATATTTTATGTTTGATACTTGTTCAATTCACTTATGATTTATTTTAACAAGGGGGCTTGCATCACATCTAATTTCATTCTGTTAAAAAAGCATGAAGTATGTTTTGGAAGCATTTAAAATCAGTCCATTATTCAGGCACCATTGAAAGAATTCCTGAGTGTATGGTCGGCATAAATTATGGTTTTCTTGAGGGAAACTACATGATAAAATCATGTCATTAACGAAGATGATAAAAAGCAGTGGACTAAGTACTGAGCCTTGGGATACACCCATAGAAACATTGGTTGACTTTTGTTTGAAGGTGATTGACAATGTTTCGTGATGAATTTCACTAGTTCGGACTTCCATTGTCTATTATATAAAATGATTTGAAATCCCTGAAACAAGTAAAAAAGAATAATAATAAAAATAAAAAAGTGTAGAGATTCCAAGTCACGTTAGTTCACGACGTTTCGATTGTTGGTATCTACAATCGTCTTCGGGTGATGACTGGTCAGTCATTACTACCCATCATTACATACCCATCATTAATGGGTATCGCATTCTGTTAAAATTTGCAGGAAATTTCACAAGAAAATTTCTAGCCGAAATTATTGATGCGTATCGGAAATTGAAAGTGTGTCCTGGATATAAATTGAGTTTCAGAGTTAGGATTTAGTGTCTCAAGATAGAAGAGACCCATGAAAGGACGGCGTTTTGCGACAATTGAGGAGATGAAACCAAATAGCTGAGAGAGCTCATGGACATACCAAAAAGTGCATGTCAGAACTGCTTCGAGGATTAAAAAAATCTTTGGCACTAGTCCAGTTTATTTGAGGGGGACTACTTTGAAGGGGACGACAAAATGGAAATTGATGAATAAATAAATAAATATATTTTGGGAAAAAAGAAAATTCACCTTACTTTTTGAATAGACCTGGTATGTCTTAGTTTTTTTAGTTTTTTTTCACTTTTTTGAAAAAGTTGTAAGTATAAAAAACCTCTTTTGACATACCCCCTCGCTTACCTGTATGTGCATACATATGCCCGAAACCTGTATTTATCTTGTTTTCGAAAATAAATTCATGGAGATGATATTGTTTTTTCGTCTTCAACAAGATACTTTCACAATAGGTCAACTCGAATTTAGTTTCCAGATTGTAATACATTGATTTTCATAAAACAAGTGGTGGTAACGCAAATGAAAGTTTCTTTATTAGTCAGTGGGCTACGCTTGAAGACAGGCAGTAAACAAATCTAAAGAAATGAACTTTAAATGTTCAAGCCCGTCTCGGATATACCTACACAGTAGGTTGAATGGACTGACGCCTATCGGAAAACAACTACTCCACTGGCTAATAGCACGAACGGCGTTGGATTATATCCGACAGGCGTCAGTGCAGGAATCTTCACAGAAAATTTCCTGCATATGCATTTGGCAATACAACTGAAAGAGTCCACCCTCAATTTTGGAACTGGATTTGTTTACTGCCTGTCTTCAAGCATAGCCCACTGACTAATAAGAAAGTGTTTCTTCCTCATTAATCGGAATTAATAGGAATCGGGCAAATTTCGGATATGCAGTTGGTTACTACTTCGCCCACTAGATGGAGTGACATTTTTGATGTTCGCTCCAACTTAAGACGAGGAATGAAATACTCTGAAAGAATTTCGATTTTTAATTATGGAATATCATTGACTTTAGGTCGATGATGGTCACTATCTTGCACTGACGAGTGGTCAAGCAGCCCGAAACCGGTCTGCAAGTGTGCCCGTTCCAAAATTGAGGGTCGACTCTTTCAGTTGTATTGCCAATTGCATATGCAGGAAATTTTCTGTGAAGATTCCTGCACTGACGCCTGTCGGATATAATCCAACGCCGTTCGTGGTTTAGCCAGTGGAGTAGTTGTTTTCTGATAGGTGTCTTAGTCTATTACCTACTGTGTAGGTATATCCGAGACGGGCTTGAACATTTAAAGTTCATTTCTTTAGATTTGCAAATGAAAGTAGTATAGTTACCAGATTGTGGGCAACTCAAAATAACTTTTCAAAATCTGATGTTCGTGTGATTTTTGTAAGATAAAGAATGGACCTTCTTTGCATCCGGTCAGATTCATAATGCACATAAGAGGTGGAGTTTGCCTTTCTCTTACTATATTTTCTAGTTAGTTCGAGGGCGCCCCCCTCAGATTTGCTCATTCTGTTGAAGCGGCTATGCGTAAAATTCTTATCTCGAATAACAAAAGGATGAACTGGGCTAAATTGGAGTCTATTTTTTTTTTAGGTTTTCCGTTTTTAAGGTATTTTGAAGCTTCTCTGAACATTTCATCAAAATCGACTACTATTATATCATATTCTGCACCTTCTCCTACATAATATGAAACATACCTGAAGAGTCTTGGCAAAAAACGTTTGGCTTTCTACCTCTGCATCTTTACTCGAAAGAATATGTAGATCATGTCAGAAGTTTCTTTCCGTGCCAGTAATCTCCTGTTGAAAAAAAAAAGGGTGACGAGAGCGTAACGGAAAGAGTGATCGGGCGAAGCGAAAGGATAACCGCGCTTGATTTGTGGAGTAAGCTGGAGAATGCATGACGAGAGCGTTACGAAAAGTTGGTGAAAATAGAAAGAGAGAGAGAGAGAGAGTTAATTATCGGATATTACTACAGGGGCAAGAGAGGGAGGTGCGAGCACACATTTACGGTCCAGTAGGCTCTGAAGAATTAGGGAAAAACTACTATGCGTTGCTACTAATTTGAGCAGGAGATTTCAAAGTTAATTTTGCGCCCAAAGATGGATAACTCTTGGTAATCTTTCTACTAGATACATTGAAACTACAAATGAATAATAACCGAAATGAGTCTACCACATGACATGGAACAACAATCGATGCAGTTTTCTCTAGATATCTTTCTAATTTTCATTCAAAAATATATGTTTTCTCATTTTTCACACAACAAGCTTATTGTTTCGGTCTTACAACCAGCCACGGTAATTATTGATGTATTCGATATTGAAAATAATATTATAAAATAGAACAATGTTTATTTACATTAAAATTTTATTTTCTATCATTAATTTAGGAAATGTTTGAAAACATTCTCAAACTGCAGTTTGAGTAGAGCCAAAAAGATGATAGCACAGCCAGCTCTCGAAAGAGCTCGCATGTAATAAATTAGAAAGCTTCAAATCCTATTTGCGACATATTTTGATAATAACGAAAGCTAAAGATGTTTTACTTCAGTTGTGTGGTCTGAAACACACAATTTTTTTTTGTTTTGAGGGTTGGTGTTCGTCGGGCCACCGCTGGTTAATGTAAAA